AGTTTCTTTTTCCGTTTTTAAAAAATATACGCGACTCTGCGGCAAAGTATTGATTGGGGAGTTTCCTGACACTATATTAAGCCGCCTGGCAAAAAAAAATAATTAAAGAAATTGTTGTGTGGGGTGCCAGTGTTTATTTAAGCCTCTCTTTGTCGAGTAGATTGTTGGGCTAGTTGGTTTTGGAATTTGGAATACATTTTAGCGCTCAAAAAACAGGGACAAAGAGGCGAGAAACAGACAGCACAGTGAGCTACTACTAACAACTGATTTTATTACGTGAAACGACACTTTTATACCATCCGAGTTTCTGATTTTGCTCCACCACTAGCCAACCCGGTGCCAGGCCGCGTCATTTTTTTTTTTTTTTTTTTGAGCGCTAAAATGCATTCCAAACTCTCTTTGTCCTTGTGCGGCGCTCCCGAAAAGCAACAAGCGCAACCCCCTCCCCCAACCCCAACACCCATCCCCGCCCCAACCCACCCCCGCACACGGTTTGCGACGAGGGTGAGGATCTGGACCGCCTTCCCCTGATTGGCTGCTGCGGAAATCCGGCGCTCTCCGGCTTTATCCGTGTGCGGGTAGTCTCCGGAAGCAGGAAAACGTAACCGTTGACGTCAGAGGCGACGTCACTTCCATTACCCGAGTGGTCATAGCTAACTTTCACCAAAACATGTTTCTCTCAGAAATTCAAGTCATGTTATGCTCAGAGATACGGCATAGCCATATTTTTTCTAAAGTATTTTAATGTGTTCTTTTTTTTATTATTTCCCGTTGTATGCGTTTTATTTTGCTTATGTTGTTTTGGTTTTTGTTCAAGTGAATTTTTTTTCTTTTCGTTTGTTGCATATACCTTCTGTCGTAACCTCGTCGACGGGAGACTTGAAGGTTAAATTGAATAAAATAACAAATCCCTTGTTTACTTGATCACTACTTCTGCGAAAAATGGCTGGAAGAGCGAATACGTTGCACTAAGGTTTGAAACGGGGGTGAGGGTCGTCCCCTTCCTCCTCTTTCCACGCCAAATGTCAAGTGTAAAAAATGGAAGAATGAGAGAGATATCATCACGGAAGAACTACGGTGGTTGCACTTGCGACCTCTTCGCTTCAAGTCGCAGATTTCCGAGCAGCCAACCGTGAGTTTCCCTCATCTTACATAAAAATTATTTCTATCCCGTTTTAAGAAGTCCGCTTTGTTCAAGGAAAAAAAAATAGATGGAAACTTGTTTATACGCTGTTATTGCTGCTCGTTTAGTATTGGAGAATAAAATTGCAAGCAGCATGACGTATATTTAACCTTGCAGAATATCGTCTCTTTTATATACATCTTTAATGAAAGTCGACGTTCGAGGATTCGCATTACCAATTCTTGCATTGCTAAGGCTGCTCACTTATAATATTTGGCTCATATCGTAGTGAACTATATTAGCGTCGATCTCAGATAAAGGGTTAGGTTCTTGATCGCAGAAAAAGTTTAAGTTAACAACGTCGCTTGAAAACAACTTCTCAACACTTTCGCCGGGTGGACACGGCTTCATCAGTGGTTTGACGATAGCTAATTACGGCAAACAGCATAAAATACCCTACGCCAGACGTTTTGATGGCAGTCTTTAAACGCTGAAGTAATATCAGGAAATAACTATCTCGGGCATAGGCTATTTCTAGACATATTCCTGCAAACGTACGTGAAAAGTGTAAAACTGTATCACTGCATCTTTTCTATAATTACACCGGCTTGTACAATAACCCACGATATGCTTCCTCCCCACTTTACGTCCAGAATACGAGACCGCTGAAAAGTTAAAAGTATCTTTGTAGCAGAACGGTGGGATTTAAACTCTTTTTTGTTCTGTTCCAATAAGCGAGTGGAAAGCTACCAAATGAGATTTTGTTCATGACCTCTACAGCACTGTTTTCGATCATCTGCTCAGTGTTCACATTTAAATATATGTTTGTTTTATGTTTATGTTTTTCCCTTTTATATAAGCGTTCTAGCCTGCAATCAATCTTTGATAGCCTGATAGCCTGCAATCAATCTTTGATAGCCTGATAGCCTGCAATCAATCTTCGAACGCCCATAGACGTTACGATCTGGAAACTTATCGGGAATCGGTGTGGGTTGAAATTCCTTCTGCAGACGGATTCAACCTTCTGATTAGAACATATTATTTTCCTCCCGCTTCAGATGCTGCGCTTTTCGTAGACCACTTCAATTTCCTTGAAGACAACATAGATACGACTAAATATTGAGTAAACATTTACGGTGATTTTAATCTTCCAAAAGTTGATTGGCTTTCTGGCATTATTAACAGTGAAAATGTACGCGTCTAAAAGCAACTTGTTTATTCAGCTATTTAAATTTTAATGATTTTACACAAGAGAACATGTTTGTGAATTGCTCCGGAAACATTCTTGATTTAGTTCTATGATCTATCTAACTTTTGTGTTTCGAATGTGACTTGTGTAAATGATCCCCTGGTAACTGCTGACGCTTACCACCCTCCGATTGAAGTTTTGTTTTCAATGTCTTTAAAGGTCATATCACCTTGCTGCGTCCTGAGATATGCATATAGTCTCGGTGATTATTTTGGTTTATTTAAATATTTCACGAAGTACGACTGGAATAGCATGTTACAAGGCTCAGATGTTGGTTCTATAGTGGACGGTCTCACATTGGTAGTTAGTGATGCAATGGATATGTTCATTCCTAAGTACCTTCAACGTCCCGAGAAGTGTCCCAAAGGTTCTCTAAGGATTTACAACATTACTTGAAGTTAAAATTACATTATAATAGATTGTATAAAAAGACAAAACTAAACGTGTGGTAGGAAAAATACAGCATACGTCGTAAACTAACAAAGCAACCCCTCGCTAATGACCAGTATCTGTACCGTAAGCAGGTGGAGCTTAGCTTAAACAAGCGACCCGAAGAATTCTGGCGCTTTGTGAAGAAGCATACCAGGAAGGAGTCAAACTGTATAACGCTACATAATGAGTCTGGTATTGATACGTCACCTAAGTCTGTCTGTGAGCTGTTTTCAGAACACTTTAAGTCATGTTTTTCTAATCTCAACACTACTTCTTCTGTGACATGGAATTCTGATGACTATTTACCTTTAACGAGTATTACGGTTGATAAGGTGGTTTCGGCTATCGGTAAACTAAATTCTAAGCTATCGACAGGTTCCGATGGTATTCCAAACTTTATTGTGAAGGGCTGTTGTGAAGTGTTTGCTCCTCTTCTCGAAAAGGTGATTAACATGTCGCTCCAGAAGGGTGTCTTTCCAAACACCTGGAAATGCTCAATTGTTTTGCCAATTTTCAAATCTGGTAATTGTGGCGACATCACTAATTATCGTCCTAAATCTCTTTTAAATGCATTCTCAAAAGTGTTCGAGAAGGTGATGTACAGCCGTTTGTATAGCTATTTTAAAAGAAAGATTGTTCCCATTCAGCATGTTTTTTTAGCAGGAAGATCAGTGGAAACAAACTTATGCACATTTCTTAATAATTCTATGCGAATTGTCAAGAATCGGGGACAGGTAGATGCAGTATATCTGGATATGTCGAAAACCTTTGACAGGGTTAATCATTAATTGTTATTGCTGAAACTCAAGAACTACGGGTTTGGCCCTGAGTACATTACCTGGTTCAGGAGTTATTTACATGAAAGACAAAACTGTGTTAGAGTTTCTGGCTACCTGTCGCGTCCTTTCATATCTATTTCGGGTGTGCCTCAGGGCTCCAATCTTGGTCCTTTGTTGTTTAACATTTTTGTAAATGATCTCATATCCTCCGTGAAGCAATCGTAGGTGCTCATTTTTGCAGACGATGTTAAACTGTTTCGGCAGGTGGACTGTATCGCCGACTGTACTTTGCTGCAAGAGGATGACTCGTCAGTACAGAAATGATGCATTTCAAACAATTTATTTTTGAACCCCCGTAAAACCCAAGTGATGTCTTTGTCAAGAAGGCGTAACACGTTATCATATGACTATACTATGGAAATTGAGCCTATAAGTAGGACCAAACTAATAAGAGATCTAGGGGTTTTTGTGGATGACCACCTTTCTTTTAATTCCCATATTAATTCCATCGTCAGTCAGTCCATGCGGGCGTTGGAAATAATGGCTCGTTTAACTAAACCATTCAGCAGTCATCACTGTCTGTTGCGACTCTACAGCACCCATGTACGCTCTAAACTTGAATTTGCCAACAGCCGGTTGGCCGCAAAGGCCAACCGGCTGTTGGTAAGCACGCAAAATAAATATTGTATTGTATTGTATTGTATAACTAAAACTTTGGCATGCTCGTGCAAAATTACCCTATATTTGTAAGTTTGGGAAAATGCAAAAGCACCCCTCTTCGCAATAACACCTTTGAAGTGCTGCGATGTAACCTGAATGAATTAAAACAGAATATTCCAGTCTATAAGAAAACAAATGTATGCAACTTAGCGGTGCAAATATTAATATGAATGACCCGTCTAGGTGATTCCGTTCGTTATATCTGGACGTCGACCAATTCAGGTTGTTCTTGCGCACGGTTCGACCCTAGAGAAATTTAAGTTAATTATTCTGGAAATGCACACAAATATACGATGATCTTAGTTATTTTTTTATCGCTTAAAAAATCAACTCGGTCTGCTGGAGACGCCAACGTTTCCTTCCGGCCGTGTCAAGACTCGTCGCCGTGCAACTCACAATTAATTTATTACAACTTTCGGTGCCGGTAATTTTATGAAATACTAATTTTAACGAAGAAATTATGTTTCAGCCGTGTCTTCCTCGTAACTTTCTGTGTATTTGATTAAACTCAGTTAAGCTTAGCAGCTACTACTAGCATTCAAAGCTGCTTTGATGGAAGTATATGACTTACAATACTTTTTTATTCGATTGCACTGCATATAGAATTGATTCAAAGATCATTGACAAAACATTCATTTTCATAGGCGGCATATTCTGCCTTATTCTGATCGCCAACCATCGAAATATCAATATCGCAATGCGGCAGTATTTCTGGATTCTGTGCATTGGAATTCGACTTTCCATTTGTGGTAAGCAGAGTTGATGTAATCCCATTTGATTTATGCTTATATCATGCAAGAAACATATATTGTAGCCTATGTTTGTCATTCAAGGACGAGGCGCAGCAGAGCGAATAACGGATATTTTAAATGTCGTGTTTTTAAGGGAGGCACTTTATGGTATTTTTATATCTGTTTGAAGTTACCATATTTTTTTGACATATTAAGTTGATTATTTCAAACGGGAGTTATGACCACATTAAAGAATATAAGAGCGAAAAAAAAACTGATTTGTTTGTTTGACGTATTTTATGCAGTAAATGATGATATTAATTTGCTAGACCTCAAAGCTCGAGAAAACAGTTTGCAAGGCAGCTTGCAACTATATATATATATATATATATATATATATATATATATATATATATATATGCATGCATGCATGCTACACCAGAGGTCTCCAAACACCGGCCCGTGGCCAGTTTCTAACCATGCCCGCCGCTACTGGCACGAAAATAAGCGCGTGTGATGTGGCGTCGCGACGTTCACCAAGCGCTTCGCATCCGCGCCGATTTTTATCCTCCTGATAATCGTGTGCCATATTTATTACACATTGTCAACCCCGCGTCCCCAGGTTCATTTCTGCGTAACTGCGTTAAATAGATTGTGCGTTCTCGTGTCTATTGTGCTTGTGCCCTGTGTCATATGTATTGTGCGTATTGTCGCCTCTAGTGTGCTTCAATGTTCTGTTTACGGTGATGCCACAGCCACTCGATTAGTGGTGATGCCATCCTTTGTAGTACCTAGAGCCACTAAATAGGCTGCGCTTAGAGTATCGGCACTCCGTTCCCTGACATTGTTGTGGGCGCCGCCATTTTGGCTCGTATGCAGAGCAGACGCAACTGCCGATCGTCATTATTCAAAAGTGTGACTTCCTCAGCATTAGATTCGGTGTTAGAAAGCTCATGTAATATTGCTTTGCTCTGTCACGAACGGTTTAAACATTTGTGGAGGGCGGAAAAACATTTCCTGTGATTTCAGATAAAGCTTCAGATAACTGGCAACCATGATTTTAAGACACAATATGGCCAAGTGTCGTTGCTCTGAAGCGTAGCTTATTTAGTGGCACTAGTAGTACCCATATCCGTTAGCACGCGCTCAGAAGGAAAATACAAAGAAATTGCCGAACGCAAAATTTCACCGTAGCACGGTCAGAGCCACGAGCGCGTGCAGTATCACGCTATTTTACGCGCTTCAGAACAAAAAAGAAAAATAACCGTTTGAAACAAAAAGGCCGAAGGTCATCATTCCAAGCAATGCGGACATAAAGGTAGCCTGGTCGTCACCCCCAGTCCTACCATTCTCATTATTCTTCTGCCCTGTGCGAATATGCCAACGGTTATATTCGCTTTAATTTATGCCTGGTGATTGTTTGTGGGCTACAATTATTGTATAATGCCACAATTAGCTAAATATTGAATTATAATATATATAAATGAAATATTCACCTTTTGCTAGCAAGTCAGTGGTATTTGAGAGCAGGTTTTTTGTGAATACACCTTCAATTCTTTTTTTTTTTTTTAACTTAACACCATTTTGAATTTCCGGATTTAAAAGCTTATATAGGTCTATTTATTTAGGTTCTGTTTTTCATTTATATTTATTTGTTCATTTCCTGGAACTCGAAGCCGCGACAGACACCAGACCTGGCCCTTTATCCAGACAGTTTGGTGACCCTTGATCAAGATCATAAAAGCACTAGAGCACAAAAAAAAAAAAAAAGAAAAAAAAAACTATATTTATAACCGGAAGCCATAAACGCATTTTCTCGAGAAGTTGAACAGGAGCACTATACGCCTCGCAAGTGGGCTCATTTTCGCCTTCTGCGCATGAGAAAGGAAGTAGCGGTGACGTGAGAACGCCGAGTCCTGATTGGCTGATCGCGACCCCCTATTAAGCGTCGTCTGCTCCTTTGCAACGTCGTCTGCTCGCAACATCGTCTGCGTCTGTCTTACCTTTCCTGCGACTTTCAGAGCGAACTCGACTTCGCCTTTCAGGGAGGGCAGACGAAATAACTCGAGCGTTACGTTGTTTTCGTCTGACAACTAGCAGACGCGCATCAAGGCGGGAAGTCAAAGGACTCACTGGCGAGGTGTCCCGGGGCACCGAGGTTTGTTTGCTTAGTGTCCGCAAGTTCCCTCCCAAATACTTTTTACCTCCATTCGTGTGCGGCGAGACCCCTCACTCTTTAACGGCGCCGGCGGGTTGGCGCAGTTAACGGCGTCTGCTTTACGTCTGGTAGTCAAAGCGATGGCTGCTTTACCTTTCCTGCGTCTGTCGGAGATTCGCCGCTTTTTCACCGGCGAGAGTCACCGTTGCCTCGGGAAACAAGGAGATAACAAGAGGAAGAAATTGACCTTTTAATCTAAAATTGAGGTCAGCGATCAAAGTATAACACGGGAAGGGTTCACAAGGGTCGCGCGGGCATATTGCCGCGCGCAGGGCTGAGAAAGCAACGCTCGGTCACGGACCCCCAGAAAGTTCTCGTCTATTCATGTACCGCACGTAACTTCTATCATTTATTCCTGCTTTTGTTTTCTAGAAAGTGCGTGTTCATTCTCGCCCCGATTACGCGACGCTCGAGCCGCTTTCGCCGAATCTTCGAGATAGTGACACACTCTAGATAAGAGGCCGCCCGCTACCTTGTCGAGTCAGTCTCGCCCCAGCGTTCGACTCTGCTGCCACGCCGACTTCGACGCCCGCGACGCTCTATTATTATCTTTTGTACTCGTTTATTTTTGGCACACGTTCGCCACATTAAACTTTTATTTCTTCCTGTTTATTTGTTATTTTTGGTCACCACCCGTGACAATATTCCATTCAGCACGTCAGCCGGTCGTGGGCAGACGGTCGCCGAGTCGCGGAGTGCCTGCTAGGCCTAACTGCCCAGCTCGTTTGGTCGCGTTCGGTGGAATCGTCGCCGTTGGAGCTTTTCCCCGGTGTCTGTGGATCCAGCGTTCTTGTTCGTCGTGCTCTGTTTCAAGTAATTTTTACTTTTTTTTTTGGCTGCTTGAAGTCAGGACGCGTGAGAAGCTCACGTAGAAAAATAAACGTCCTTGGGTCGTCGCGACCGCGACGCTGTCGGCCATGCTGAGTTGATCGTAAGAAGTGCGTAAGACAGCTTCGGAGCTGTTGTAGGATTTCGCCGTAACCTGCGCAAAACTTGCGAAAATTTCGTTTCGTGAATCTGGCCTCTGCACTTCCGAAAGTCGCAGGAAACGTAAGACAGACGCAGACGACGTTGCAAAGAAGCAGACGACGCTCAGATAGGGGGGCTCGATCAACCAATCAGGGCTCGGCGTTCTGACGTCACCGCTACCCCCTGCGCAAGGAGCAGACGAACTTGCCCTCCGCATTATTAGCTTTCAAGGCGTCCCATTTTCTGCATACTGAGGAATGGCCTGAAAAACTTCCAACACTCCCAGAAATGAATTTTAGTTTGTTCAAGATCTTATACTGATGAACATTTTTGACAAAAGTGAACAATGTAATATTCATTTAGTTATAATTCAGAGAACGTTTAATATATTACGCAATCACAAAAGCTCGATTAATATGACTACAATCTACAGTAAAAATAAAGCATTATTTAAAATTCATTCAAATAACATATATTTCAGATGTTTTGGTTTCGTTTTCAAATATATAAGAAAATGAAGTCGGATTTTATAAAAAAAAATAAAAATAAAAAAGACATTTGAGTAATTTTGTTTTTAATATATAATTGCTCAACTAAAAAGGTGGTTCGTGGCATACAAATATATTCGAGAATATTTGTAGCACCTCTAAGCCTCTGTTATCAGTTTTCTCTCAATCGGCGGGAATATGTAAGTACGACAGAATATACGTGACATGTCAATTTTTTTCGCGGGCTGATATAGCACTGCACTCTCGATGCAGGGAGGATATATTGTTACAAAATGTAGATCGGTTGATGTCTTAGGTTGTTGTCTATATGCTTCCATACATTCGGACGTGTTTTCTCGTCTGTACAGCGTCTTGTACGACACACCTTGTATACTGTAATCTCCTAGCATCACCTCCACAAAAACGCCCGTGGACGTTCGGTGTTGCTTGTGAGCTACATCCTTTTTGACTAAAAAAATTACAGCTCAGGCTGAACATCATCCTTGCTCCTCAGATTGGGTTCCTACTGACTTTCACACTCTTCACCAAGCTGAAAATGACTCTAAAAAGCACGGATTCTCAGGGATTTCAAGACATCAAAATATCGTTGACAGAGACACTCGCTGAACGTTCAGGCGATATGTTCAACAGGTTTCGTGATTCGTATGATATTGCCGCGCTTATGATAAGTATATACGCTTCTCCATTCATCTAGAAAATTCTCGTGCACTCCTACCTCAAGCGTATACGACAAGGAGGCCAGAATGACCTTGCATAGTCAGTGCTCTAGCTCTTTCCCGAGTATTCTATAGGTGGAAGATTTGAGATGGCGAGAATAGCAGATTAAAAGTCGTGCGCCGTATTGCCTGTTCATTCAGTGATTCTCTCTCGCGATAGCCAGCTGTTACTTCGACGGACAGTCGCTGGCTGCTTCCGCCGCCGACGCTCGCTGCTGGTTTCCGGCGTGGGTTCTTTTTTTTTTTTTCTTCGTTTCTGGCACAAGTTCGGCCCCCCTCCCCCATTAAAGCTTCAGTTCATTCCGTTTTCCTCTGCTTCATCGTCTGTCATTCGTGACAATATACAGCGGGTGTTTTCTTATATTATTAGTGAACCTCTCTGGGAAATAAATTGGAAAACCGACTACACAACATCCTGCCATAACGCCTCCCAATATGAAAAAAATGACTTCTCAAAATCAGTTATTTGCACGTTAATGAGACAATTGTTTTTTTTTAGAAACCTTACGTTATATTCATTTCAGGTGAGCGAACGGTATCTATGTACGGATATGTCGATGAGACTCAAAATCACATGTCAGTGACATGTAAGGATGCACTCGTAAAACGAATGGAGGAGAGGTGCCGGCGACCGGGTTTTTACCCGGGTAACGGAAAAGTAAGCGTTTTACCAGGCACGGAAATATTAGATACATATCGTTTCTAGATCAACTCAGTTTGAAAAGTTTCATCGCTACACAGCCTTCCGCCTTCCTATGCTTTCCCCGTCTCCTTCTATAGACCAACTCAACTCTCCGACGTCACGCCGATGCGGTGGTGCTGCTGTCGGCACTGCGCATGTGCAGATGCATCGCCTCGGGCGAATCTGGTTTCTGCGCGCGCGCAGTGCCCTCACCCGGTGGGCAAACGCGGGTTTGTTTGTAAACAGTGGGTTGGTCGATATACGACATTCGTCACGGCCTCTGCAAGCGTGATCACAGTCAAATTGATGAAGGCGTGAGATTGAGCACGAGTGCTGTGTCAGTGTTCGGCTGAGGCTTGTGTCCAATTGGCGTGACGAAGGTCGGGCTCGGGCCCAATAGCCGAGTTAGCGCCATCCGACTCTGATGACGTTTCATAGAGGGAGAGGAGACCACGCGAAGGTTTTCAGTCTACGTGGTGTTGGCTTGAAGCGCCGCCCTTCTTGCTCGCTGTGGCGCGTGTTTGCAACAATAGTTCCAAGATCAACCGCAGGCACGCAGTGGACAAAACAAAGTGACGCTGCAATCACCTGCTGACGAATAATGATAAGAAAGACGGCTTAGCCCTTTCAAGCAAGGACCTCTGGAAGCTCGTCTACTGTTAGAATCCAGTAAAGATTGGTGAATTTTAATATAAAAAAACAACTAACGTGCCGACAAAACGCTTATTAATTTCATTTTGGTTAACAAATGACAGGCTGTTAAATTCCTTATCCTAGCGAACACTCTCTGTCACTATGGAACTAGTGGCAAATACAGAGGGGCGGGGAAACCAAATCTCTCTCTCTCTCTCTCTCTCTCTCTCTCTCCCCCCCCCCCCCCCCCCCCCCCTTGAATTCAGCCTTTGTAAAATTTTGGGGAGGAAAAGGGTGTTAGGTATTTGCTCAAACATGTGATAGACTGAGGTACGCGTATGAGATGCCAATCTTGTACTCGTTAGCCAAAGAAAGTAAATAATTAGAATTACAATTACTCCTCCTTAAAAAAGTATTAAATTCGATTACTTGATTAGTTAAGAAGGAAAAGTAATGGGCCGTTACCTAAAAAAAAACTTGCCGTTACTTCGATTATTTAGATTTTCAAAACGACAGATTTTTCTGCCGGTTTTAAGACGGGTCTTTTGTACTGTCGATTATTTTAATATAACCGCATAATTATAAACTGCATAGATTCTTTACCTACAAGTGTTTGGTAAACCATCCTTCTGTCAAAAACTTGGATCCAGGATTTTTTTTTTTATTTCTTTTACGAAACTCGTAGAAGCAAAGGGCGCCATTCGAAATTGGAGGGAAGAATAGTGAGGGTTACAAGCAATTTTAGTACTTTCAAGAGTAATCAGATTATACTTCTGATTGCTTCATAATATATGTATTGAATGAATTTCAAAAGTACTCCAAGAAGTAATCGATTCCAAGTAATTTGATTACTTGTAATAGGAACCGTAAAACTCAGCGCTGATCCCCCCCCCCCCCCCCCCCCCCCGTTTCTAGAAACACCTGCATCTCGCAAGTGGTTTATAATTCTTATTGTTACTGGATAAAGAGCGCTGTTATTGCGTAATACAATCGTAGGCACGGATACCAAAAAGACGTACGTCCTTGTATCTGCGTCTCCGGTTTATTATGTTGCCTAGAATTCACTACGGTCACTGAAAGTTCACAGCAGGCACGTATCCAAGGGGGAGCCCAAAGGACCCCCCCCCTCCCCCCCCCCCCCCCCCCCGAAAAAGAATCCTTTATTTTCCTGGTGCCTCCTCTACCCCTCCACTTCATAGAGTGTGGGCAGGAGTGTATAGAGAACAGAGGATGACCTTGTGACGTTGGTGGTCGATGGTTAGATTGTGGGTATATAAGACTTCGACGAAATAAACGCAGTAGCTGAGTTTGAGACGTTCTTTTCCCCTGTCTTTCTTCTTCGACTCCGTTTCCTTGCTTTTACCACAGTCTCGGGTTTTCTACATTATGACTGAAATAATCTTTTTTTTTCTTTTTCAAAGTGTCTCTTTTTTTATATACTCAAAAAAAAAGGGGGGGGGTCAACAATGACTGAGAAGACTTTTTGTATTTCTTTAGGAACACAATTTGTTCTGTAAAGGCGCTGTAAAAATAAAATAAAAAATCAATCTTATTTACAGTACTAGGAATTAAATATGTTTACAAATCTCTGTAATGCGAAATTAGAGCGCAGCTGTTTAAGAGGAGGGGGGAAAGACAGAGGGGAGGGTATGCCCTCCTCCTCCTCCATACCCTTTCCTACTCCCCTCCCCCCTCCTCGTTTGCTCTCGTCCTCTCCCATTTCCTCCTCCTCCTTCACACCCGCTCCTCCTCCCATCCTCCGCCTCTTCCCTCCCCCTTCTTTCTTCTTCCCCGTCCTTTCCTCCTTTCCTCCTCTTCCTCCGCACATGACGTCAAATTTCTGTTAAAATCTAGCGGAGGAACTGAATGTCTTCAGGTGGCGTGACACCATGACACCAAATCATGTGGCGCTATTTTCCCCGCTAAATTTAGCGTGGAATAAAATTGATGTTGAAGTCACGTGACGTCAAATTTCCCGCGAAATCGAGCGCGGTTACCCCGACGCCGCGAAACCCGGAAACGTGCGCCTGAGTGCTGCGCTCTTAATAATTACAGGAGGGCGCTTAATACTGCTTACGCGTAGAAATGCGAAAGCCTTCCCACACGCAAATTATTCCTACAGGCAGCGTGCTCCACTGTCCTCGACAGAGGCCGGCCGGGCGGCGTGACATGGCTGAAAACACGGCGTAGAACCGGTGATAGAGTAATGCACAGGCAGAGGGAGCGGGAATTTCCCTCTCCTCCTCCTCCCCTTCCTCCGGCCGCGCCTGACACGTGACTCGAGAAAGGGGAAGAGAGCGGCGACAGCGCGCGCGCCACCCGCTCCCTTTTACCGGCGCGCGCGCCGCAGCGCCAGGAGGAGGGCTTCTCTGTGGGGTGGCGTTCCTTGGAACTATGACGCGTCGGAGCCAATGTAGGTGCCGTTTCGCTCATCCAATGAGAAAATGGAAATTTAAGGGGCGTTTTTCGCGGTTACCGCCGGCGCCGCCCTCGCTCCATGGGACCAGTTAGTGCTTTCGCATTAAAATGAAATACCCCAGCTTGCTACTCCTTCCCGAAATCAGAACATGCACTCATAAAAGTTCTAAATTGTCAATAGTGTCTCTTCAAGGTAGAAAATAGACGCTACTAAATTTCTCAAGATAAACTAATGTGTATCAGTATATTGTATATTGTGCCTCTATATATACAGCGTGCCCCCCCCCCCCCCCCCCAGAAAAAAATAAATATTGCAATGCTTTTTGTTTGTTTGTTTGTTTACCTCAAAATTAAGGTACGCACTTGCTAACTTTCATTCTCCGCCCCTGTGTGACACGAACGGTCTGAACCTGATGCCACAATTTCAGAACTAACCATTATCGCTTTCTTTCGCACAGCCATAGCCTCGTCTAGACTAACAAAGCCTGGCAGTTCGACGACGGGGCCATACATTGCAGTCGCAGGTTGAGAGCGCGAATCTGGTAGCACAGAGCATCAAAGAGCCACTTCTGGGGGAACATGGACGTCAGCGCACAGTTTCTGCAGCGGCGAGAACCCGAAAAACACTTGTTCTCTCGGGAGAAGTGTGTTTCGGCGTTTCGCCGCAGCGGGGCGCCAGTCATGTGGCTCTCCTCTCATCCGTTGTCTGGCGCTCCACCTTTTCCATTTCGGCGACCGCTTCTCGTGGCGACCTGCCAGGCTTTGTCAGTATATAGGAGGCTATGGCATAGCCTCAGCTGAGACGCTGATTGGAGCAAGCCGGTACTGGCTCGAACCACTAGCTCTCCATTTAAACTGAAAATGAGCGTTCGTTGATGCGTAGTTTATTTTTGCGGTGGAAGAAAACCTGTAAATTTGTTTTTAGACACCCTGTAGATATATTTCGCCAAACACCTCTCTTCCAGCCTGTAGACTTCAAAGGCTGCAATTTTACCTGTAGACTGCAATCAGGTCCCACTACAATCGAACAGCACGTAAATTTGACGGATGGTCTCCCCTGCGGGCCAAAGGGCCAAGTAAGTAATATCAGAACTTGCTGGACGGCGCAATATTGAAATCAACAGCTTTCTAACAACCCCGACAGGTTCAGCACATACTTTGACGGTCGCGATAGTGCCGAGAAACTGAGGGAGATGTGGAGACGAGAGCGCGCGGAGACGAGAACGACTAGCTCCGAGAGATATCATTAGAGGGTAGGCATAAAGAGAGCTGCCTTTGTCTCTACTGACACTTCGAACGCAAACGCGGACCGCTGTACGCCGGCGCTTGCAATCGAACGCAAACGCGGAACGCTGGACGCCGGTGTTTGCAATCGAACGCGTAAGTGTCAGTAGAGACGAAGGCAGCTCTCTTTATGTCTACTCACTCATCCTTAAAACAAGAGCTCAATGTTTTGCTCTCGCCTCTACCGACCTCTACGTCTGTCGTCGCATACCTGTGGATAACTTTCTACTGCATTTTCGACGAGAGGAGGAGCGCACGTGCACAGCTTTAATCGGCATTCATGCACGCGCCCACAGAACCTTTGACTTCACAGCACGGTATACGTTTGTTTCTGATTGTCGCTCTAGTGAAACTCCTGCTTGAGAAGTACGAACAGCGTTAGCGACATAGACCCGTTGCTCTCGGGCAGGGGGCGCGAGCGCGTCCGCAAGACGCGTTCATGTTATGCAGCAGCACTATCCAGGCCGCGCTGTAACGTTCAATTTTGCACATGCCACGTTCGAATGCAAGCATCCGTCAGCATCTGTAGACGCGCGATAACAAAACGCCTAAAAAAAAAATTATGCAGCTCGCGGTTTTAGCGTCGATCCCGTTCAACTTTCTTGTTTTACTGCGTTCTTTCATAGCTTCTGTGAGTCCGTATGTTTCACCTTACGTGATAGAGAAGCCGAAGCTACTCGCAAAAGCACGTCCTCCTGAAGGATGCTCGCACTGCACGAGCGCGCGTGCTTCCATAGAAGGGACACTTACTGCAGGCTCGGAGCTGGCTCATGTAGCCTCTGCTACGCTGGCACTTAGAATGGAACGGAGTAGAAAAAACTGTAGTGGGGAAGTGTGATGACGCGCGTTCCAAACGCGAGCCAAATATTCTATTTTTCTCGCCTGGAGCGCTGCTCGAAACTTGAGAGCTACGGGGTTAAGGAAAAGAAGATAGACAGAAAACAGTCAGCGCTGTCGTCTGTCAGTCTCTTTCTTTTTTTAAGTTGCACGTGCCGTAGCGTTGTTTGTACTTGGAAGTTTTAACTGTGTTTTTCTGAAGGCTACTCGAGAGCTGACAAAACAAAATAAAAGTTCTTTCTGGCGCAAAACAATCATATTTAGAAATTAAACAAAATCATTTGCACAGATGCTCCACGCTTCGCTTTGTAAACCACTTTTACACATATTGTAATGCCGGTTGTCATAGGCCATTTCAAACCGCTATCCAGCAACACTGGCGGTCACCATTTCTTGGAAGCAGTGATAGAGTGCAGGCGAGCTGGTAAGGGATCGACATCTTGTGGACCTTAAGATGGGGAACATTAGGAAAACGAACGAGGGCAACAAAATCTCAAAACACAAAGCTCGTCATTGGATCCGAGTTCCCACCAAACGCTAATAGAGCACTTATGTTCGTGTTCAGGAAACGAGATTAACAATGGCGGATTTAGATAATTAGCGCTACAGCGAAAAGGTGGTGAGAAATTTTCGAAGAAGTCTACTACAACAATTTTTTATACAAGGAAAAAAAAATCAAAGCCCCTGGTGTGCTACCCGGCCTACTTTTGAAGCTCGATATGCTGTGCCGTCTTTTATGGTTTTATAAAGTTATCCCGCTTTGGGCTGCGCGAAGAGCGTCTACAGGACTATCTCTGCAGCGACAAATTGCTCCTACATGCTTTTGTTGAAGAAAAGTGTCGAGTTCAGAACTGTGCGAGACGAAATGTATTGCTGAGGCATTCAAGCTATTTCTCTACGATCCTTTGCATCTTAATATGAGGTGAGATAATATTAGGCACTACACGCCTGATCAGCCATGTTTTCTTCTTTTTTTATAGGTATGCCAAGGCGGAATATGCGTCGGCGCCGGGAGTCATGACACTAAACGTTGTCCAGATTTGGTCCCGAAAGGGCCTTACGAGAGTTAAAATAAAACCAAAAACCGATGAACTGGAAACAGCCTTGTATGAGAGCCGTTCTTCTAATAGTAATGTTTCTGAACGCACCCTCCATTAAAAGTCAATTAAGATTGCTTACGTGTAAGAGAGCGAAAGCACTCATACACACAGTGCATTCCGATAAGCAGGGCGCCTCGTTTTCCTATCTCACACGGCTCTCTGGCGGTGACATCCCGCTCCCCTAGTGCGCAGGCGCACAAACTCCGCCGGCCTCACGACGGCTTCGGTGCCAAAGCATCCGCGTTACTGTGCTTTTCTTTGTGTTTTATTTCTGAGGAGCGTCCGCTTACGGCTACCGTGACGAAGCATCTGCGTGGCTGTGCTTTTCTTTGTGTTTTATTTCTAAAGCGCGTGCTCGATGACGCCGTTTTACGACCATCTTTTGCGGACAACGCCGACAGGTTTTCGCGTAATGGGACAAGTAAGGCTTTCACCTTAAAAAAGAGTCGTTGTGTATTTTCAATTCTTCTGAAATAAGAGATCAGCAGGCTTAAAATTATCAGTCTACAAAATGAAAAAAAAAAAAATTAAGTGCTTACACACACTTGAACGCTCCACCTAAATGTAGCGCTAGTGGTTCGAGCCTAATACCCAAGTTACAGAACAGTTATCTTATTCGAAAGTTATAAGTAATTTAGTAATTTTAAATGGGATAATAATAATTTTCTATGGGATAATAGAAACTATCTAATTGAAAAAGGCGGTGAGTGAGCTCTTCTCGAGTACGTGTAGTCGATTGGCGCCAGTTACTGAAACGGACAAAAATGGGCCCCATTCTCACATTTGAAATTTTCAGAAAATCGCTTATAACTTTTAAATGAAACAACGGTTATTTCTGAAACTTTTGCTTCTGGTTCGAACCGCTAGCACTACACTTGAGCGGAGAATAAACATTCGCCCACTCGTAGACAGCGTGTTTTATTTTTTGGCGGTAACACACACAGACAAACACACACACACACACACACACACACACACACACACACACACACACACACACACACACACACACGCGCGCGCGCGCACGCACTCACACAACCAAACAAACACACACAAACATCCTTTCAGCATTTGGGTATCCCCCGCTGTGGTCTCTCCCCCCAGCCCACCCGAACAAACCTCTAAAAAGAGTGCTGCTCCTAAAAACAATTATTAACGGCCGGCCTGGGTTGCCTTCCTACTTTGTAGACTTGAATGCAAGGCCCGTGCCCGGCCTGAGCCCGTCATGTTTGTAGCAATAAAGCCTGGGCCCTGCCCGTGTGCCGGGCCAACTCGTGGCCCACGTGCTGGCCCGTACCCGTGCACGCCTCCACCAACAACGTAAATAAAAAGGCCGAGAAATTACATCTTAATAAAGGGGGAAAGGGGAGGGGGGGCACATTCCCTCTGATGGATCCCTCAAGTAAAATAAAGGGTTGTCTGTAGGAAGTACGTTCACAATGCATGTTCGCGAACCGGCGTGCATTTTAGAAGTCGTTAAAAGCGGGGATTTTTAGTTACACGAGTGTTACAATTAGGGACAGCTTCATGCACTCGGGCCATCCCGCGACAAAGATGCCGCCTATCAATGCGACGTCGATCTCAAAGCAAAAGACCACCAAGCATGGCACGGTAACAGCTCTTCCTTTGTCAAACGCTAGCTCAGAGACTGGCTGGAAGGCACATCTAAAGTGTCGCTAGCTTCACACTTTGGCGACAAATAAAAAACTGTGTTTTGAGAAGGCTGTCTTTTCCGGCTAGGGCTCAGCCCCCCAAACAGGCAAACAACGGCGTGTCTAAGAACCCCCCCCCCCCCACCCTCCGAGCAAAAGGGAGAGTACCACGAGAAAAAAAAAAAAAAAAAAAAGGGAGGTGGGAGGGGGGAAGTCGCACAAAGCAGGGGTGGATATGATTGAGCAGAACAAGAAGAGGGCCCTCTTGGTGCGTGACATTGGCAGCGTCTAGATTCACTGAGATTTTGACAGATCCCTGTCAACAAGGCAAGAGTTGAATATTGTGGGTAGAAATTGTTGACTTTCTTCTCTTCATTTCTGTCTTCTTTCTTATTGCTATCTCGTTCTCTTCGTTATCTCCGTAGGAGAAGGAAGAAGTGCTTCGAATAGGTATGTGCTCTTTTCGGCTCTCTTATTTGTGGCTATATTTTAATACTATAGTACCAGCCTTTTATAAGTTTTAGGGGCGAAGCTCCTTAAGGTCTTGCCTTGTCCGTCCGGCGTCCGTGCTCACATCAATCTTGCTGGTGCTCGTGCTCGTGCTCGTGAGCTCACGTGCTCGTGCAGGGCAAAAAAAGAAAAAAAACATGTTTGCGCAGTCGACAGGATTCGAACCTGTGCAGGGATACCCCAATGGATTTCTAGTTCATTGCCTTAACCACTCGGCCACGACTGCAGGACGAGTAGGGGGTTCTGAGATATGGTAGTAACTCAAGAGCTGGGGATGTCATGGATGAAACGTTGCATGTAGCCGCTCAACGACTATACAGGAGAGGGCGCTGCGGTCAAATGCGTATATAATCGCGTTAAACTTTGCATGCATTGGCTCAACGTTTATAGACGAGAGGGCGCTGCGGTCAAATGCTCAAATGCGTATGTTACCACGTTCCATACCACACATTCTCTTTCTGACACGGATGAAAACGAACGAAAGGCTCGGCATGCTGCGGCTCAGCGTCTACGCAGACAAGCACCACCAGAACTTCGCCCCAATCAACATCATTCACCACGTGGAAATGCGGTCAGCTTTCTTTGAGCCTACAAGTGCGAAGCTTGCCTCCGCCTGTATGCGGGCGGGTGTGCCGGTCGGCTGGGGATTAATCCTCGGCTTTCCTGAAACGACTCCGCTATGTCCACCAGAACTCCCTCACTAATGGCAAGTCAAAGAGCTGCAACCGACCAATGCAGCGTGAGTCCCTCGATATGCGGTACATATATTGCTAAATCGGAGTGCGAAGCTTCCGCTGCTGACTTGGCAGAAGACCCCAGTCAACATTCAAATATCAACATATCGAATGACAAAGAGTTACAGCTCTGTGACATGGAGCTCAACGACGACGAAGGCTGGCAGACCAAAGGAGCTAAAAAACGCAAGGAGACTGACTCAAACTCAAGCAAAAGCACGGGTACAGTTACCCACTTGCCGAAAGTGACAGAAGGGCTGACTGTCATCCTTGTATCAACGGTTGAAAACCAGCTCATCGCACCACTCAGCAGCCTTAAACTGTCATTTGCTTTGGAACAAATGTGCCCGGAGTACATTCTTGAGGTCCGTCCCAACAAAAGACTCAACCTCATTGCAGTAGACACACGCAATGGCCAGACGACTCGAACGCTCCTTGCTTGTTCTGAGTTTTGTGGAGTTAAGGTCAGAGCATATGGTCCGGTTCCGCGACACTACGCCGTCGGAGTGATCACAGACGTAGATACTGCGCTTTCTGAAGTTGAGCTCGAACAGAACGTGAGATCTCCGGAAGGTCGAGTGGTCCTTATCTACAACAGCACTGCCAAGTTATGTTTACCTAGTCCAGTGGCTCTCAAAGGTTGGTCCGCAGACCCTTTGTGGTCCGTGAAGTTAATATAGGGGTTCGCGAAGCCCTGCCTCATCAGTCAAGCGCGGCAATAAAAGTTGTCTTTTTTCAGATTGAGAAGACACGTTTCAATTTTCGGGTTAGTTTCTTGAGGGTATATCAATAAGACAAATCTACTTCACACAGCCCTTTGTTATACCCATTTATTACATAATTATCATAATTAACCGATAATTTTATCTTTTCTTACCTCGAACAGGGTCCTCCACCAACTGCGCCTATCCACAAGGGGTCCGCGAAATATCAATGTCTGAGAACCACTAACCTAGGCTATGTCCGTCACCCAGTCTCACTATTCAAGGAACGGCCCATGCAGTGCCGAAAGTGTTGCGCGTATAGACATCGAGAAGCGACTTGCAAGCGACTTTCTATTTGTAGCCGCTGCGGAGACTTACATGAGAGCGACACCGAGTGTTCGGCGCAAGAAAAGTGTGTCAACTGTAGACAACTTCACGCTGCCACTTGTTCATCCTGCCCCGAATGAAAGAAAGAAAGCGAGACTCGCAACTACGCACGTCAACATGCCGTTGATTTTCGTGCTGCAAGGACAGCTGTCCAATAGTCTAAGACAGCCAACGTACCTCAAAGTGGTCAGCCCCCTCCAAGCCCACCGAAAGAAAGGAATGAGCCCACCAAGAAGCGTAATGTCAGCTCTGCGGATTACGCTGTGGCAAATCAGCAAAAAGGCAAAACGACGAAGGGAGCATCTCAATTGAACAACCACCACACCTGCACTGTGGAACTGAAAGCCGACACTGTCAAACCAGCATTGAATGTGACGTCTGCACTGAAGCCGCAGCCTCCTCCCAGCCCAAGTGCTGAACCCACAGCTAAATCTGCATGGGAAAGCTGGATCCACTTCTTCAGAAGGCAACCCGCATGACTGCATTTCTATTTCCTGTTTATACGCAGTGGGCACGACTTATCTTCTCGTTCCTTAAGATAATTCTCCCTCTTATGGAATCATATTAAAATAGGGTAAGCCAACGGGGCGTGTCAACGAATCCGGAACCCCAAATTTCTATCAATACTCCAATGGAACGTGAACGGCCTCCGTACACACATTCCTGGACTTCGACGAATTCCGCAGCAGAGAATTATAGATGTAATGGCGCTTCAAGAAACTAACATCGTACACGGTGAGCTGCGACTTTCTCCATATGTTTTCTACAATTCCACCATAATTGTCTCAAAGACTACGTCTCGGGTTTCTCTTTTAGTGAGATCAAGCCTCCATCAGAGTGTCCTGGACCTTTCAGATCTCTGCTCGTTAACGGCAGAGTATGCGGGAGTCACATTAAGGCTCGGAACGCAAGACACCACAATAGTTTCCATTTACGTAGCCCTTGGGGCATATGGGGCCCAGATGTGTTGCACCAAATTCAAC